TCTCTTTCAACTCTATGATTCTATGATTCTATGATTCTATGATAATTTTCTAGCAGAAAATAGCAAAGACATGGAGCAATTACTGAAGAAAGTGCAAAGGTGGCTTTACAGTTGAGCATTTAAAAAAATGACCACAGGTGATTTATGTCATTGTAAGGTAGATGATGAAGACATTGAAATAGTTTAAGATTTTTCATATCTTGGCTGAGCCATTAATCAGAGTGGAGGCTGCAGACAAGAAATCAGAAGAAGACTAGGACCTGGAAGGAAAGCTATGAAGGAATTAGACAAGATCCTGAAGTTTCAAGATCTATCATTAAACACTAAGGTTAGGATTCACACTCCCATCCTTTGGAAGTTAAGATGACTCCTTCTTTGTTTTCCTTTCAACCTCTCTTTGCGAGCAAGCCACTGGAAACTGATTTTAATCAGAAAAGAGCGTTTTGTGGTGCTTCACCATTTTTCATCTGTTTTAAAGTAGATTTTAATTGTTTTTAATTATGTTGTTACTTAATATTGTTCTAATCTAATTGTTATATGTTACATGAGATATATAATATGTAATATATGATAATGTTGATTAGTACCGTGTGCTAAGACTTCTTGTTGTTGTGTGCCTTCAAGTCAATTCTGACTCATGACAACCCTAAGGTTGTGGGGTTTTCTTGGCAAGATTCGTTCAGAGGAAGTTTGCCAGTGCCTTCTCTGGAGACTGAGCATGTGACTGGGCAAAAGCCAACCAGTGGGTTTCATCTATGTGCAGGGAATCAAACCCTGGTCTTCAGAGTCATAATCTAAGACTCATTCCACTATGCCACACTGTTAGTGGAAAATAACTATTTTCTAAAAGAAAAGAGACCACAGTTTGGCATTTGGGTATTGCTCTAAATGATTAATAGCAGGGCTGCTCCAAACAACTGCTCAGGTCATTTGTAGAGCTGAGCTAGCCATGCCTTCCAGATATAAGACAGAATAGCAATTCTAATTTTGAAAGTTTTAAAAGTATGTTGCAGCTATCAAGCACAGCTCTAAAATCATTGACTGAACAGAACAACAGTAGAGCCAGGGTAGGGGATGGCCAGCCCTTCAAACTGTGCTGTAGTATTTTGGACTGTAACACCCCTCACAATTAGCTTTGCTGGCTAAAACTGTTAGCAGTTTTAGCTCAGCAACATCTGGAGGAAAATATGTTCCTCCAGATATTAAAAGCTTTGATGGCATGTCAAGGGTTTTTTGGGGGGATGGGTGTGGGTGTGTAAGAACAGAAGCTTAGAATCCACAAGAGCTTTGGAAGACATATCCTAATTGAAATCAGATAGGAAAAACACATGGCTTGCTGAAGGCTCTTGTTAGATTAGGCTTTCCTAGCTTAGATTCTATCCAGAGCCCACCTGCTTTAAATCTATTCCTGCAGGCATAGATATTACTTCACGGAGCATAGAAGTCATCTATTTAACTTACCCTATTAATGTGACAGATGACATGGCCTAAATCTCTGACATACACACTTCCCCCATCCACCCCCCCAACAGTAACTAGTAATGGCATAGCTAGCAAGTGTACTCTAAATCTTCCACTTATTCTTGACAAAGGAAGCAGTAAAAATGAAAGGAACCTAACCATTAAATGGATTGGGATAAGCAAGAGGGGTTATTTACCACAAACATTTAAGGGTGGCTTTATTCACTCTATTATCTTAGTTTGTGGTCTTCAGTTCCAAGCACTCCATAAATGCTAGCAACACCTGGACAATCAAGGAAAGCAGGGTACCACACTGAGTTTGGCATGTGGAGGCATAGCTCTTATTAATCAAACCTTACTTTTCTGAACTCCTTTATGAAAATATTTCAAAAATATTGTACCATTCTAAACTCCCATCTGAAGATATCTCTAAACATTCCTCTGTAAATCTCAATTTACATTTCTTTTCTATTCCATTCTACTAAGGGCCTTTGCAGACTGCTAGAAATAGTGCAAATTGAGTCCACTTTAAGTGCCCTGGCTCAGTGAATTTCCTTTAGTTTGCTTCTGGCAGTGTGAAAGGCCCTAAGTCTCACAAAAATCACAAATGTTCAGTTCCTTTTAGATAACTGGAGGTAATTCTGGTCTAATCTGCACTGTGAAAATAATACAGTTTGACACCAAGTTAGCTAGCATGGCTCAATGCTATGGAGTTTTCAGATTTGTACTTTTGTGATATATTTAGATTTTTCTGTCAAAGAGTGCTGATACCACAACAAACTAAAAAAAAAAAACCAGGGTTACATAGCATTGAGCTCAGACAATTAAAGTGGTGTCAAACTGCATTATTTCTGCAGCACAGATGCAGTCTCTGAAACCTACCTACCTAGTGCTATTGTAATTGAGATGGAACCCTTTTTTTTTTTTTGGTCTGGCTAGCTAACAAAGAATGAAGGTAAAACTCAGCAAGTATATAATCTTAGCAGACATTCCATCCATGTTTGAGATATTTTACAGAGTTATTCCTATGATGCTGTGTTAGTTGAATATTTCTGTTTAATTTAAATAACTGTCCAATATTGAATTTCCTTTAGTTTGCTCCTTTAATCAATATATTAGATTAGAAACTGGAGTTGATTGGGTTGCCTTTGCTGAGCCTGGAAGCAGGCTTTACCCATGCTCAGAACTGCTTGGCAGAAACACAGTAAACTGGTTATTAAGGGGTTTAAAGTCAGTTTGGAAAAATAGTATATCCTAAGGCTGCCTTCTTGTATATACAGGGCCTGAGTGTTATTAAAAAGCAAGGGCAGTAGTGATGGTTTGTTGTTATGTGCCTTGGAGTCAGCTGACTTAATGGTGACCTTATTGTAGCATTTTCCTGACAAGATTTCTTTAAAGTATGTTTGCCACTGTCTTCATCTTATTGCGAGAGGGTATGACTTTCCAGGATCACCCAGTAAGTTTCTGCAGCTCAGCAAGAATTTGAGCCCTGGTCTCCTAGAGTCCTAGTCCAACACTGAAACCACTATATCATGTTAGGTCTTTAGCAGCAATAGTATAGTATCCATCTTGTCCTATCTTGACAGTTTCTCATATTTTTTGTGGGTTTTTTTGGGCTGTGTGGCCATGTTCTAGAAGAGTTTCTTTCTGACGTTTCACCAGCATCTGTGGCTAGCATCTTCAGAGAATAATGGAATGGAAGAGAATGGGTATATATATTACAGTGAGACCCTGGATAAGGAGGAGTGGTTCCCATGTAAACTGTGTTTTCTTCTGTTGTTGATGGCAGGGCCTCAGGGTGGGAGGCTATGCAAACGAGGATTACTGTCTTCTAACTGGTTATCGTTGTTGGGAAAGCCCCTGACCCTGGTTGGTTTCTCATTTGCATTTGCTCAGTGCTGATTTTTCTATTTTGTGGGACTAGTATCCAAACCTTGTTTACTTTAAGGGTTTCCTCTTTCCTGTTGAGGTTGTCCAAGTGTTTGTGGATTTTGATGGCTTCCCTGTGTATTCTGATCTAATAGTTGTTGTTATGGTCCAGAATTTCAGTGTTTTCAAACAGCATTTTATGCCCAGGATGGTTTATAATGTGTTCTGCTGATGATGATTTTTCTGGCTGACCCAGTCTGTAGTATCTCTCATGTTCCTTGATTCATGTTTAGACCCAGTCTGCAGTATCTCTCATGTTCCTTGATTCGTATGTAGACTTGTCTGCAGCTGCATGGTATGTGGGAAACTCCTGCAGTTGTGAGAGGGTCTCTCCTGTCCTTTGCTGAGGACAGCATTTGTTGGATTTTCTTGGTCGGTTTGTAAATGGGAAGCCCTCTAAGCTATGTGATACCAAACTTTTACATGGAAGATCTGGCTGTGTTCAGACATGAATCAAGGAACATGAGAGACACTGAAGACTGGGTCAGCAAAATAGAAAAATCAGCACTCAGCAAATGCAAATGAGAAACTACCCAGGGTCAGGGGCTTTCCCAGCAGACAATGATCACCAACATTTAGAACTCAATCAGAATGCACCAGTGGCTTAGCAAAGTACTAAGTACAAATCCCAAAATTCCATAGAATTGAACCTATAACTGTATAGTGCAAGTGGACCATTAGTATGGAATGAATCCTATATTTTCTAATGTAGTTGAAGCCGTGGTCACCTCAATCTTCAGTACTGCAATTTATTTCTCCTTTCTGCTTCTGCTTTAGCACAAGTCTTTCACTGATTAGAACTGCTTTCTCCATCTTAAGGTGGTCCCAGTATAATGAAAAACCTAACTGTATTTTGTATATCATCAGGGGACTCCATGAAAGCCTTAATGCAACAGTCCTTTGCAGTGCTATACAAATAATCAATACATAATACTAGTTAATCCCTCTTCACCCACATATGCACTTATAAGTCCTTCTCCAGGCAACACACAATTACTTTCCCATAAGTTTACTAAATTATATTCCTTGCAATATATCTTGTGATGAACTGCAAAAAAAAAAAAATCATCTGTACATGGATAATGTATTTTGGTGTCCATTGAAATGTATCATTCCTTTGCAGAAAATAGAAACTGTCAGGAGTTGCCTCTGTCAATATTTACCCCTTGTGTCAATAAATTCTGACAGTCAATTAAAATCAGTATACTCAATTGACAGTAGGGTTGTCCGGACTCACCTGAGGTTAGAATTTTGTAAAGTAAGTATCTGCTTATATTGGCTGAAACGATTTTGACTTTAAAACCCCTATAGTGTGGAGAGCACACCTCCATTCAATTTCACTAGCATAGCAATCCATAAGTCAATTTAACAGTTACTACTTTGCTAACAGTTGGTGGGCAATATGCACATAACCTGTAGGCAAACTGAAAATCACAAATTTGCCTGTAAGGAGGACGGGTGCCACTTTACATCAGCTGCAAAAGAGAATATTTACAACATGTTTGCATCCATTTGAATAACAGATTGGTTTCAGACAGACCTTTTAAGGGCAATAACTAAACACAGATCACAGCTATTAGTACAGCCTAACAATAGACACAAGTATGCAAGTAGGTAGACAAATGCAACCCTGAAATACTTAGATCAATGTAAGAGTTGAAGGATAGGTTACATTTCAATTTGCATTAAATCTAATAATTTCTGAAAATATTATTTTAAAGTTTGTTCCAGCTATATAATTCTGTATTTCTTTAGACAAACATGTTAACTTAAAACATGGGGACCAGATGACAAAATATTTACAGCTTGTTGAATGAAGTAATCTCTCTATTCTTCAAGGCCTCTCCCGCCATTGGCCTTTGTGTCATGACAAATCCAATTGCAACATGGCAAATCCTAAATCTAATTGCTAGCGCCAAATAGAATAGATTTATTGAATCAATGGAATATACATAAGTATTGGCCATACATTTCACAGATGAAAACTAGAACCACCATCCTTCTTCCTCTTCAGGCATGGCAGCTGCCCTTGAATCATGCAGTGCCACTGTTGCTGTTTTCACTGTGGGTCTATGTCTGCTACCACCACTATTTCCCCATGTTCCTCTCTCTGAGCCATGTCCAAACATGGGCTATTGTTCCTCTAACACTGAATTGCCCAGCTGGGGGAGAGGCAGGGATGAAGCAGTACACAACCAGCTCCACCTGAGAAAATGATGAGGTGCTGCCACTCAATTTGGTTAGCAAAGGCTTGGCTAGGATGGGTGGATGAAGGGCTAATTCCATGGCTGTCCCCACAACACATCAATCTAAGATTGAGTTGACAGATGCTGTGGTTGTGTTGATACCAGCAACACCAGTAATAGCATGGCCCAGGCCACTACCATATCACCTTGTACTCCACAAGAGGAGGAAAAGAAGGAAGAGGCCTTCATT